GCAAAAGAAAATTTTGGATGTGTGCATTAAATATTGACACTAAAAAAGTCTTTCATTGGATTCTAAATATTATCATAATGGAGAAGCATTTTCAGAACGGCAGTGAGAATTTAAGAATTCTCTTATACACACACACACACAAAAAAACGCACACACACACACACACACACACACACACACACACACCAGAACACTGGCAGAAATCATCAAAACCAACATTTTCAAAGCTCTAGAAATTGACTGTAGCCTTGCAGTAATCTAATACTTACTTAAGGAGAAAGCAAAAAACAACTGAATCTCAGTAAGAACAGCAAGCCTTGTAATGATTCGACTTGCACTATTGCTATTCCCCTTTCCAGTTCTGCAATAACTAACTGAGAAAACCAACAGCATCATGAATCACAGCAGCTGTGAGAAGCAGAAGCCCAGTATCCACTGGAGCAGGCAGTTTGGAGCTTTCAGGAAGCCCTGTTTCTGGAACTGTCAGTATTTGATTGTCTGGCAGGTCGCTTGTAGCACTTGCCTTTCTTTGACCAAATTCCTCACTCAGTGCAATGACCTCCTCCTCAAGGCAAGGGGCAGTTGTTGAATATCACCATTGCCGGAGGTGGTGATGAGTTACAGCAAACAACAACAACAACAGCAACAGCAAAAACAAACCAAACCAAACCACCATGAAAGGAAAAGCTGGGCAGTAAGACACAAAGGGGCCTCTGTAAGTTCTGACATAGTCTGAGCTATGGAGAGACCTTGAGTGTCTCCCCAAGGGGCCCTCAAAACTCTAAGCTTCACATGTAGCTGACTGCAAGGCAGGAAGTTGAGGCTCAGGCAGTGGTAAACTACTTCCTGGGGCATTTGAAGGTGTGTTGCAGCAAGCACCCAGAGCCACTTGGCGAAGTCTGTCTTCTTTGCCCTGTGTGGTTTCTGAGTTTCTGCTCAGCGAGCTCAGTAGCCAGCTAATGATTGGATAGGAAATTGTTAAAACGTCAGGAATTAGTTCAGGAAAAACCACTCAACAAATCAGTGGCAAATACCTAGGGGGAGGGAAGGAATCTGATTTAAAATCCCTAGTTTTGAATAAGAACAACAAAAAAAATGAGACTTGCAAAGAACAGAAAGTATGACCCATCTGCAGTAAAAGATCGAAGCCAATAAAAGCTGTCCTTGCAGAAGGCCAGATGTTGGTCTTAAAGAGATAATAAAAATAAATTAAAAACATCTTGGTATGTGTTCTTTGTAAGAGGCATACTTTAGATTCAGAGATAAAAATGTTGAAAATAAAAGAATGGAAAAAGATGTACAGGTACATCCCTAACTGAACACTATCAGAACTGTACTTGTGTCTGAAAAAGTGCTAGAATCGCTATACTGATAGCAACAAAAGAACTTTAAGACATTTTTTTATTATAAGATAGGACATTTTATAATAATGAAAGGGTCATTCCATCAAGAAGGTGTAATAATTCTAATCAGTATAGGCACTCTGGAATATTGTAATAACATGAGAAATATAACCTTGGTTTCTGCCCTGGTACCTGACAGAGGAAACTTTGCAGTTTACTTTTGCAGTCTCACCTTTGTAGATAGGAGCCCTAGAAGACTGTTTTGGTCTTTGACCCTGTTTTCCGACACACAGCACCTAGATCCCTTCAGATTTCCTGGGTGATAGAAACATCTTTTATTCTAAGGAGCAAATCTTTCTTGACTATCAGATAGTTTCAGAATGGGGACTGGTTGCCAAGAGAATCAGCCATACAAGTAGAGGGTAGAATTGCAGTCTCCCCCCACATACATATATCCCACTTCTGGGAAGAGAAGAATGTCTAAAGGCTGAGTTACTGCAGATGGCCCGTGATTTATCAGTCATTTATCAGTCATCAGTTCATATATAATGAAACCTTTGTAAAATCCCACAAGGACAGGGGATGGTAAATACAGGACGGTAAATGCAGTGACATGACACTAGGTACCTCTACTCTCAGAAACAGGATCCACTGTACAAGAGACTCTTGCTGACCTTGTCCTCCAATGTCATTATGTCACTGTTCATGTGTTCTCTTTGCAGTATTCTTTATGGGTGGAGGGATTTCTCTGAGTTCTATGAGTCATCTTGCAAATTAATCAAACCTCAGGAGAAGGTGTCATGGGAACCCCTGTTTTTATACTTGGTCAGCCAGAAGTGTGGGTGACAACCTGCTAGTTGGCAATTGGCATTTGAAAGAGGGGTCGGGGGGCAAGCAGTCTTGTGAGACTAAGCTGTTAACCTGTTCAATACTCCCTTTGCTCCTTCATAGGGAGGAATTTCTCTTTTTGTTAAAGCTCTATCCCAAGATTATATTTAGTGACATCTTTAGGCTCCACTTCTTGTTCTCCTGCTAGTGCTACTCCATCTGCAGATACCTTCTCCACTGAAGTTTGATCCCCCAAAGTCCTCCATAAGGGTTGCAGTCCACTTTTCCCAAATACCTCTTTTTTTTTTTTTTTTTTTGGTTTTTACCGGTACCGGGAACCGAACTCACGACCTTGCGCTTGCCAGGCAGGCGCTTTTGCTGCTGAGCTAAATCCCCAGCCCCCCAAATACCTCTTAATGTTGAAATTTTCATCTCCTCCCATGAATTACAGATGTTCTTGGTGGCATCTAGAGTGGTGAATAGTTTCCAAAGGTTTTCATTTTATTTTGCCTAGGTTCATTAGGGGAATCAATATCTTCTTTCGTTTTTCTTTCTCCTGTGTTCATATATTTAGTCTGCTTTTACGTAAAAGTGTATTCTTGTGTGTTATGGTTATATACTTGGAAGTGTCTTTTGCTCAGTTAAGTCTTATTTCTGGTAAAAAATGATATAAATTGGAAGTTTTTATTGTTTGTAAGATTTCAAGAGCTAAAAACATTTTCTGCTAGAATGGTTTTTGTGTAATGATTATTACTGACAAATAATTACTTGAAAACCAGATAATGTTACAAGCATTTAAATTTCTCAGATTATATTTCAAAACTATTTTGATGACTAACTGATAATTAGGTTGGGCTGTGTTTAATTTTGTTAAAAGCAAAGAATTGGAAAAGAATTTGTTACCAAGTGATTATTCATTTTCTCAAATCCTTGGAACATGTTCAGAGGTCTTGCCAAGTCACATCAAGATGACTTGATTATACTTATTACTTTTTACCTTGAGGCACCTTGTTTCAGCTGATATGCTCGAAAAGAATTGGGAAAATTGAACTTTTGTGTTTTTCAATATGCCGATGCAAAACAGTATTTTTTATTGAAGTGCCATGCGGTGCTTTAAATAAATATTCATCCGAACATGAGAACTACAGATCTAATTTATGGAAAATATCTACCACACAATTAATTGACAAAACCCATCTTCAGTATCAAACCATTCATCCAATCTTTGATATAAAATCTGTACCTTCATTGTGGATGGAAGAAGCGTGATTTTTAACAAAAATAATATTTAGCACTTCCACTATAAATATTTAGATAGTCTGGATGGGAAGAGTTGTTTTGTTAAATAGGAGAAAGGCAGCTGTGAAAGGGAAAGTGTGAAGCAATTACTCCTGAGACTTACCAGGAGTGTGTTCTCAGGCAGTCCCATGTTTTTGAGGTTGAGGTCCTGTATACTCCTCTGTTGGGACTATCAGTAACTGGACATCCTCTTACAAGACTTTGCTACGGTTAGTTATGTAAGCATGAACAAAACAGCCTTGGAAAGCGTTATTTCTTTGTAAGGATATTGTGTACAGGTACATTAATGTTAGTGCACTTATTTATTTATTTATTTTTTTTTTTTTGGTTTTTCTCCGGTACCGGGAACTGAACTCACGACCTTGCGCTTGCAAGGCAGGCGCTTTGCCGCTGAGCTAAATCCCCAGCCCCGTTAGTGCACTTTTTATGTACTTGGACTGTATTTTGCCAGTGCCTATGCCACTGTCACTGTTCTACCTCCCTGACCTGCATGTGACAGATCTCTCTTGGTGTCTAGACTGGACCTCAGAGTCCTTCATAACTATACCTTCTACTGGTTGATCAGACCTAGCACAGAGGATTCTCTGTAGTAGCAATTTTATTAGTTTCTTAGTCACCACATTTATGTCTTTTTTTCTCTTTGTAGTTTAAATTCTCTGTAGTTTAAATTTGTGTATTAATGTAAAGTTTTTAGGTTAAACTTTATTATCTTTATCAGCTTGGAATACTCTCAGGAGATAATTCCCTGTGGGCCTCTTGACTTTTGTACATTTTATGAGCAGAGGCTGTGTTTACCCTGATTCTTTATCTTTTTAAGGTTTATTTCTATAGTGAGCAGTTTTGAAAGATGCAGTGATTTTGAGGCAATGGTCAGGTTTCCTCATTGCCTTGGAAGACAGAGAGACGTGCCTACCATCAAAGCTTGTGGTTCCAGAAGCTTAGGGTGTCTTTCCTGTAATGCAGGTGACATTAGGCCGTGTTTAAGTAGCTGTGAGAATTGGGGCTTAGGGAATTAGATCAAAATAATGCTGATATTCTGGCTGTTTCTATTATTAGGAGTATTCCTGTCTCTCCCCAGGAGACTTATACCCTCTGAGAGCATTCACAACTGACTAACGTGTTAACTTGTTAAATCTCAGATAATTCCCAGTTGTTGACAATACATAGGAAACACGTATAACTATTAGAGTTCAGCTCAGAAATGCCATTTTTATCCATGCTTTAAATTGAAGCTGCATTATGTATTATTTATATCCATGTAGCATAGATTTTTTGGGTTTTTTTTTTTCTAAGTTAAAATAAAGGTTTGGCATAATTTTGCTATTTATATACAATGACAGTTTTAAAGGCATAATAAGCCATATGTTTTCTTATACATTAAAATATATATGTGTGTGTGTATATATATGCACACATTTGTATTCATGCTTTCAACAACCAAATCAATTATTGCTCTACTTAATTATGTACTTAAGAATTCATCTTAATTTTATAAATGCCATTATGATATATTATTTGCCTCTATTCTAGAATATTGGAAAGAAGATGACCTGCCAAGAGTTCATTGCAAATCTCCAAGGGGTAAATGAAGGTGTCGATTTCTCCAAGGATCTGCTAAAAGTAAGTGCTGGATTATGAGTTTGTAAAGTATGCTTGTATTTATATTTACTGCTTATTTCTTAATCTGAAATAAGCTAAAGCTCACTTAAGTATTTTTTGTTTTTGGCTTCGTTGGATGTTTTTACTGGGCTTTGTCCTTGATGCTTCAGACTATAGTTATACCCTTCAATTAATAATTCCGGAAGATCCACATTGTAATAAAAAGTACTGCAAAAAACAAGTGCATTTGTAGTAGTTGGTGATATGAGCAGTCCGTGAAAACATTTTGTGTGTAAGCAGACGGTTAGAACTTGAAAAAGGTCACAGAGGCAAATTCACTGTAAAACAAAGCAACCCTGGTGGACTGTAATGGGAGCAGTTCTGACAGTGTCAGTTGCCAGTCACGGAGCCACCCGGATTGTTTTTGGAAATAGATTAAATTAAATTCTCAGTAATTGTGAGATGCCTGAATTATTCGCAGTTGGCTTTATTATTGGTAACAATCAGTGTGTTTTTCATCAGATGATTTTCAAGGAGACAAAATCAACTTGAAATTCATACATTCTGCAGTATTATAAATGAGATGTGCATTTGATCCAACACAAAATAATGATTGGTAATGAATGTGAATATTTTACAAGTTGTAGGGTAAGTAAGATGTGTGTATGGAGCACTGGAGTTTTACAGATCGATTCTAGCCTTCTCTTTAAGACTTAGTACATGTACAGGTTTCTTTTGAGATTGGTCCCATTTTTTTGAATGAACTTGCTAAGAAATATGACACATCTGAATCATACTATAATTGGAAATGTGTTGTTGAAGGAGAAGTCTTTTAGTAAGTTGTGTTGAACTTTTAGTTATTTTTGAAGTGTGGTGACTAAACAGGGGCCTCATGCATGATAAGCACGTGTTTTCCTGCTCATCTTCTCTCCCAGAACTATCTAACTTTCAAACTGTAGAATTCTAGTAGGTGTGAAGACAAACATACTATGGAAAATGAAAGGAAATGTTTAATATGGTGTTATCAGATTCTATGTCTTACTGACCTTAATTTCAGCTAATTAAAAAAAATAACGATGGAAGGAAACAGGAAGAAAAAATTCAGTTTGTTATGTAAAGAAGATATTTTTGGGCTATTTGCTTATAGAGTAAATGCAACTCTTTCTGATTCTACAAATTCAAGTGGGAATGGGAAACCAAAGGTGCAGAACTGTGACATGATTAATATGTCAGGTACCCTCTATTGAGGCTATGTGGCGTTAACAAGTCTTTTTTTCATCCTGGTGGTATTAGGAAGGAGTCTCTCAGAGGATCTGTGAGGCTTTTATCAATTATGTTAGAAATGAAAATTGACAGGAAAATTTTCATAGTGAAGTGGTTAGCTTTTAGTCATAGGCTTATGGTAACTTGTGGAGTGGTAAATTATTGGGTGGATTTAGAGCGTGTTTAATAGAGCTGTCTAAAACCAAGTGTAGTTAATGTACTATCCAGTGACCGCTGTTCGCTTTGGTTAAATACATGTGCTTCCATTTACCCAGCCAGGAGTTTGCCTAATGATTTGTTGGAGTTATGCAATTGAGATTATGTTTATAGACCTCAGGGGGGAAAATATGTATTATGTTATTCTTTACTATGGGGAGATGACAGTCCAGTGATTCTGAAAATGATAGTAGCATTTAGCATGGAAATTGTCTAGTGAAGTATTGGTTCCCCTTCACAGTAAACCTCAGCCACCTTCCCAGGATGGGAATAGGAATGGTTTTTATTGTGAATTCAATAAAAAAAGATTTTTAAAAGTCATTTTTGTTTTATTTCATTATTTTGTGGGATATTCCTGTATCTTTCTTCATCCTTTCTTCCCTCTTTTTTCTTTCCTCCCATTGTTTTTCTTTTCCTTTCATTTTTGTTTTCTGGTTTTCTTTTTGATTCTCTTCTTCTTATCCCTCTCCTTCTCTTTCTCTATTCAGTAGTTACCTGTGGCTGAGATAAATTATTGGGTGAAATATTTATTTGAATTTTGGGGTAAATACAATTGTGTACATGCCATACAGATGCATACACATAGGTGAGCAAAAAATTTTGGTATCATTTAACGGGCTTTTCAGTAATCTCTCTGTGCATTCTTTCTCAACAATTACAGACATGCATGTCATTTTTTTAATGAGTAAAGAGTAAAGATTATTATTAATTTTGCCTCTTCATAAAAATATAAAGCAACTACTAGATTCAATGTAAAAATGCTTAAACTTTCATTGGGTGAACTGAGGCTTTTATTCTCATATAATGGTCTTATTACCTTTAGGTTTCTTTGGATCAAAAGTTCAGTTTGGATTTATGTCTGTTCAGATTTCTTTGGACTAGAAGTCCTATTTGGACATATAACTCATTCTGTGTGGTTGTGTAGTTGTGGACATTTATTGAAAGTCCTTTGTGTGCTCACCAGGTGATGTGGCATTTAGAGAACACATCTGTCCTTAGAGGTCACAAACTTTTGAGAGAGGTTTTTCTCCCTTAAAATGGACAGTTATTCCACATTAAAATAAAAGCATAAACCACATTCTGCTTTCTCTAAACAGAAAATGGTTGAGAAAAAATAGGCCATAATATATTTACCTGTATGAGAAATTAGAAATTTGCCTTAGGATTTTAGTTCAGAGAATTCAGTTAAAAGTTTGCTTCTACTTTGCCTTAGAACACATAAAGGAAAAAAGAAAAAAGAAAGAAGGCAAAATATAAATATATATATGAATAGCTGAGATAACTGTATTGCTGATATCTGATGATATATTGAAAGGAACAGTTAATGCTTAAGATTTTTTATGTTCTGACCAATTTTGCATGCTTATATCTGGTAATCTGAACAAATTATTTGAAGGTAACAATATGCAATGGAACTACCATGGTGAATTCCTACCATCTGGTCTAGTGAAACTCTGTATTATCTCTAATATTTTATCTAATAATTATTTTCTTATTCTCTTTAATGGTTTGAATAATCTTCCATTCTTACATCTGGTAATCTGAGCAATGTAGTTGAAGAAAATAATATGTAATATAACAACCACTGTTAATTCGTATTATTTTGTCTTGAAACCCTGTATCACTTTAAATGTTCTTGCTTTGGTTTGTTTATGTTTTTGATACTGGTATGCTGCTATTCTTCTTCTTTTTTTCTCTCATTTACTACTCTCTTTAAATCAGATTTTTTTTTTTTTTTTTTGGTTTATTCTCCGGCACCGGGAACCGAACTCACGACCTTGCGCTTGCCAGGCAGGCGCTTTTGCCGCTGAGCTAAATCCCCAGCCCCACTACTCTCTTTAAAATGAAATTGAGGAAAAGGAATACATTGAAAGGAGAGATGAACACTATGTGTTTTTTGTAGTTTACAGTAATAATGCAGTCTCTGTTGCTTTCTGAAATAACCTAAACAGAATTGAGTGCCGTGGTGAATAAGAACTTTCTTCCATAACTTGCTCCGAGTATGACACCTAGCATTCAAAGTTGGCTTCAAAAAGACAGCTGGCAATAGGATATCATTTAGATCTTCAGAGCAGAAGGATAGAAGTGTCATTTGAGATGGGTGTTTGATGTATAAGAGGAAACTTGTTTTTATTTAGGTTATTATTCTGTTTTAACTTCAACCCCTTTTGCCATTCAGAGTCACCCACACACCCATCTCTCCTTAGGAGATGATCAAATCAAGGCTGTAATTCATTCAAGAAAATATGACAAACCCCTTGTCATGTTGTGGCTTTCCAAGGCCCATCCATCTGAGCAGCTGGTGTGTTTTACCTTCACGCATCATTTTGGACAAGGAGGAAAAGGAAAAAGAAGAGTTCTGCTTTGGGATCTAATAAATTTAATAAAAGATTCCTGAGACTTTAATAAGTATTAAAGCTGTTAAGGACATGGCTGGAGGGGATAAAAAGATAAAATAGCCTCAGGGTTGAAGGCTGATGTTCTTTTTACTTTTTTTTTTTTGTTTTTTGTCTTTTTGAGAGAGGGTCTTTCTATGCGGTTCAGGCTGGCCTTGAACTCACTTTGCAGCTTAGGCTGGCCTCAAACTCAACAATCCTCCTGCCTCAGCCTCTTCAGGGCTGGGATTACAGGTGTGAACCACCAGGCCCAGCCTAGGCTGATGTTCTTGAGCAATAATATAGTATGAGCTGTCCTGACCAGGTTCTATACCAGCTTCTCTCTCTTATTAGCTGAGAGGCTGTGGGCCAGTTCATTTAAATGATATCAGTTTCTTTATCTGTAAAATGGGAGATTTTACTTTTATCCTAGTTTTTTTTTTTTTTTTTCCCTCTATTTCTTACTTCATTTTGGGGACTGAAGCCAGAGCCTCACATTTGCCACTGAGGTACATTCTCACCCCTTCTTAAAATTTTGAGACATAGTCTCACTCATTGCTCAAGCTGGCCTGGAACTTGTAGTCCTCCTGCCTCAGCCTCCTGCATACCTGGGACTAGAGGCATGTGACCCCACACCTGGTCTACCTAGTCATTTTAGTCATTGGACAATTTAATGTATTTCATGCTTTAGAATCCTAGCACATAGTAAATGTGATGAGCTTGCTGTTCTTTTGGGTTTTAGTATTATTTTAGTCATCATGTAGCTCAAAGTTTGCTGAGAGACATCTCACTTCAGGTATTTGGACGATGTATAATACATCCCCTAGAGCCAAGTGAGATTAGTGCTATGAGATAAGAGCTGCATTACCCTGGACTCTTAGTCTGCTGCTTTCTAAGAAAACACACTATGCTCTTTGAAAAGAATGGCGACCTTGACCTACAAGTGAATCTTCATTAACACTATTGTCCTTACTTATCAATTGTCTCATTCTCCTCCTGCGTCCAAGTCCACCGCTCATTCGTGTGTTCATATCCAAGTCAAGATTACACATCCATAGATAGATACATACATATGTATACACAGTGTGTATTTGGGTCTTCAGTGGGTTCCCTCATGAACATAAACGTGAGGGAGCATGAAGAGCAGAGGGTACTGAGGAAAGTTAG